TTTTTTTTCTCAAGTTCCTCAGTCATAGTCACATAATATTCGCATAATTTATATAGGACAGAATATAATACAAATTGTTGTCTTAGAACAGGCCTGCACCTTTTTTGCACTATTTCTAGGCTCGCAATTGGCTGGAAGGTAGAAATAATGCGCTCATCTCTACACCGAGAACGGAATTTATTAATTCTCCCCATTGTACAATATAAATTTATGAAGAAATGTAAAATAAAAAGTAAAATAAAAATTACTTGTATACTAACCTTTATTAGAGGTCAAGCTCGGACTTAATAGAACATCATTATCTTCATAATCTCGCTCATTACTTTCAATATATACTGGGTCGTCTTCTTCTTCTTCTTTTGTTTGATAATTCCTAGACCCACCGGGTCTAATGTAGCCAAAACTAACAACTGATAGTGGATCTAAATGTAATGAAACAAGTAACCATTGTATATATTATTTATACCGTTTTCAGATAGATAGGCTGTGTTCAGCGAAAAAAGCAGCTCACTGAGTGCTCACTGTTGCAACACAGCTGCTGAACGTAGCTATAGATATCCAAAATATATAGATATACTTAGTTATAAACCCAAGATAGCTACTTATAAATTTTTTGTGTAAATCTTATTTCAACAAAAAATTATACTTACGAAAATCTTTTTTTTCTACATTGTAGTGATTGTTTGATGCAGTATTTTTCATTGTCTTTGTACTCTGTCTCTTATCATCATATGATCTGTCATCAAAACCTGAAAATCATACAACAATACGTTACTGAAACATTATTCTATTATTTTTTAGTGTATTGATATGTATATATATATATATATATATATATATATATATATATATATATATATATATATATATATATATTAATACACTCATCAACGCCCAGGCAAAACCCCTAAACTTAGGAACAGGAAATTCGGGGAGCATGTTTTTTTCGTGACGTAAGCACCCACTAAGAAGGCATTTTTAGAAATTTGACCCTTACACTGCAAAAACAAATGTGTTATTTTTACACATTTTAAGTGCGTTATTCATTGTAGACACTTTTTACACACTTTATCGTGTGTAAATTAAAAACACACGTAAAGTGTGTAGTTTTACTACACATTTTAAGTGCATTATTCATTGGAGACACTTTTACACGTCTTATCGTGTGTAAATTAAAAACATGTGAAGTGTGTAGTAGTAATGCGTGTTGTTTTAACACGTGTTCTGGATAATCCTCGCCAAGATTATTAGGACGGCTGCTTGATGATGCACACGCGTTGCACACGACATGCAACTCCAAAAATGGCCATCGCTGTGTGTAACACACAGCGATGCACATCCTAATTAAAACATGGTCATCGTTGTATGTTATATAGGGTGCGTTCCATGTTCCATTTCACAACGCTCGTGAGCATTATTCGTCCTTGTTTAACATTTAGCAAACAACAAAAGTGAAATGGTTCTAAGAGCGTGGCGAGCGTTAAGTGCACCCATAGAGATGTCTATGTAACTTTACAACATATATAGATGGTACATTGAGATGAATCGTAAAAAATTCAATAAATACGACTTTTTATCTTCTAAATGTATATATTAACTCGATATACATCTATACATATGTTAATTAGATAACATATTTATTTATATTTGTAACGTATATATTTAAGATAATATATTTATTTATATTTATAACGTAGATATATACCTATTTATTTATATATGAACTGGATATGTATGAGAGATTTCACGCTAACCCGATCTATATACAAAGTATACAAATTTTTATGGTTTACTCGCCGTTATTTAAAAATGATTATTTCGAAATAATTTTCCATGAAACAATGGGTTAGTTTAAATTATAAAATTTAAAGAAATTGCACCAAAATCCTGTGTCATGTGTATATCAAAATTGTTCACCCATTATATCCCAGAATATAGTTCAAAAATTTTTATATGTGGCATAGAATTTTTTAAACTATTCCCATATTTTTTTAATTTGGGCTAACTTTTTGTTTGATAAGAATTTTTTGTTAAAAAAAAGCAATAATATAGTTAGCAATAATTATAAAAAAAGCATTTATTAGATTTAAACCAACAACAAAAAATTCTGTTCCACATCCTACAGAGAATGAGCCATAGATCGGGTTAGAGTAGTTCGTCTATATGTATAACTAGAATATACTGCGGATATCTTACGGCGTGACTTCTAACTTATGGTTCAGTTTCCGTATAAACTTTTGGATTCTTTGGTTTTTCGAGACAGTTCCAAGCACCTTATAGTCGATGAATCCCATTACATTCGAATATGCCAATGGATACGTTGTGTCCCAAACGTAATATGATGCTAGCAAACATATAACGGTTTTGGTGACAGTAGGTTCTGGTATTTTAACCCTTATATTTGTATCTGCTACCACGAAGGCCGAAGCTACGCCTTCTTCTGCGGTATATAAGACGACACGTGGAGAATCTCCTTTTGCTCCGATCAGGTTCTCGGTGGAAGCCATCATCTGCCGGCATTATTTCATCTTAAAATAACCATATAGCTCATCGTACGATTTATTGAGCAATAAATCAGGATCGAATTACAATTTTTTCAGCTATAAATAAATAATGTTATTAAATAAATATTATAAATAAATAATATCATTAAAATTATAATTATTTTTATTAATGATGCTTTTTTCGAAAGTTTATATGATTGTAGAGTTAAAACTTTGCAAATAAATATTTTTTATCTCATATAATTTTGGACAATTGAAAAAGAAACTAAAATATGATCCCGGATTGCTGCTCAATAAATGGAATAAACAATGTAGAATGGTCCTATAACGGTTTTTGTCTCAAATAATATGTTACCTGTTTTACGATGAAGAGAGGCGTCGTCGTTTTTTTATTATAAGCGAGATCTTCATAAAGTTTTACTATAACGGACGCTTTTCCGACGTCGGTGATTGGCTCAATGCAGTAATATGTGGCCAAGGTTTTAATTAAACTATTAACGCTTTGGAAAATAGTTTCCAGATTTAATTTTTTCCAAGTTATGAACTCGAAAACGATCTACAAATAAAAAAATACTTGAGAAAGGTATAAAAAGTTTACAAGAAAATTGCGAAGTAAAGGACTGTACCAAGTCATATATTGCCAATTGCGGAAATTTCATAATTATGTCGGATAATTCTTTTGCGTCTTTTTCAATCCAAGATCGTCGTGCAGACAACGTTTCCTGGAGGAGACGTCTTACGTGTAGTGAATCGACGGCCTGGTCTTTTTTTTGTAATTGTTTTAGAGCCGTTTCTGTATCAATATCAGTTTTCTGTAATCTGTGGAATTAAGAAGAGAGAGAATGCATGAAAATTCATGACGTTCTGTCATTTAATATTCAAAACTTACTTCTCTGATTGAAATACTACAGCGTCATTCGTCGAACGCTTTCTGGGTATTTCAGCAGCGTCTACTTTTAATATCTTCTTTTTCAAATTTGCTCGTCGATTCCGTATGTTGATGCTGAGCTGTGTCGACTACAATACCCTGAAATCGCATTTATCAATATTTCTGCATTATTTTCTTTTTTTCTAAAAATAAATGTAATTAAGACAATACGAACACAGTAGTCAAATAAGAGTATATAGAAAGTTCTATTTAAAGCTCTTTCCCAGAACTCACAAAGTATATTTGATTAAATTTTATTGCGTAAAGAGAAATTTACTACAAAAGTAAGCTTAGGCTTTAAATGGAAATTCCTCAGACTGGAAAAAATCTTATAAAGAGTAACCTTGCAAAGCAAATTTGAAGTTGGAAAGATAAAGTTATGAAAAATTGTAAATAAAACAATATTTTGAACGATTAACTGGGCGGAGAAGTTATTTTAATTATGCAGATATTTCGTTATTTTGCTCTTCTTCAAATTGATCTTACAAAATTCCAAGATTTCATAAGTGTAATTACATCACGCTTTTTTCCATAATTTTCAGGAAATGCGTTTTAAAAACCTACGGTAAATGTACCAATGCCGGGGACACTTTTAAAACCTATGTCTGGACGTCTGGACATCTTTATCATTTTAGTTTTTAAATAAGTATAACACGAATTAAAATCATAGATGAAAATATAATACAAAGAAAATATTTTTATCTTTGATTCTTTGATTTTTTAATTCGCATTATAACTTATTTAAAGAGTAAAATGATAAAAATGTCCAGACATAGGTATGTGTCTAGGCATTGGTACATTTACCTTATATAATTTTATAAATAAAAGAATGTTAATAAGCTTCTAAGCATATTTTCGAAACTTGAATGTAGTTATACAGTAGATAAAAAACTTACGCATCCGTTGGTTCCTCCCTTCAAAGATGGATACGTTTCTACTATGGTCACTGCAAGATTCTGATAATCTTGCTTCGTAGGCTGGTTGTCAGTAATGTCAAGTAAATAAGAAGCCCAGAAATAGATGAAATCTTTTACGCCATGAAAAACGCCTACGGTTTCCAATATTCTTTGAAGTTTTGGTGTCAGTTGTGGTAGATGTGCTGGATAAGGCACTGCACACCTAGCACCTCGATGCATCGGAGAAATATTTCCTGTTGCAATTGACGATGATGAGTCTCCAAGCTCACTCTTACTTGACTGCGCATGATTAACTTGATTTTTGGTAGCCTAACACAATCAATGAATTTCCCAAATTATTCATAACATTAATTATATGTAAAAATTGACAACGATAATGTAATAGAAAATTATTCTGCAAACAGCTAACATTTGCTACAGAGTTCGGCCGATGTCAGCTTTGTGCTTTAATAATACTGCGATAATATCTGATTTTAATTATTTTTTACATGAATAAGTACTAATATATGTTTGTGAAATATATATATATATATATATATATATATATATTATATATAATATATATGTATGTATAAAATACAATTTCATTTTATTAATAAAAATTATTATGTTATTCTACTGTAGTATGTATCATAGAACTTCTGTTTTACACTTGGTATTACTGTAATTAATTTTTTTGACAATTTCTTAATTCCTACCATTATTCATACATTATTTTATTCATTCAATTAATCTTACTCACCGCAATATCAGCATCGCTGATATCGACTTGTATCGCTTCAGTCATCGGCGACAGTTCTTCTGGTTCGACTGGATATACAACAGGAATATCCACCACGATAGGCTCGTTCTCCCAAAGATTATTACGGGCAGTTGCCGGTGTATTTGAATCACTCTGTTCAGGTAGCGCGATAAAGAGAATCGAAATTTCTTCTTTGTCAGAAATGTCTTCATCGTCGTCGATATCGCGTAGACGATTGTTTCTATCCGGATCTTGTTTCTGTAGAACAATGGATTTTCCTTTCATCATTGCCAACAACAATGTGTCTGTAGCTGTAGATTCCAATAAAGCTCTCTTTACGGCAGCTACGTCTTTCTCATTTGATTGCTTTACATATCGGATGCACTTGCATCTCTCACCAAATACACAGTACACTTTTTTTTCCATTTTATACGATAAATGTACGACACATTCGAGTAAGATTCTCACGTCATTAGAAGAATTCACATTGTCTGCAACGGGGTGAAAAAGATAAAATATGAATCACGGATTCCTCGGCAACGCCGTCAAGCTTAAGCTAGTGCTTTATAAAGTTCTTACTTTTTTGTGCATTTTCGGTTTTTTTCCAATGTGTAACTTTCTTTGAAAACTTCGGTGTTTTTGGCATACTGTCTCATATAACACTGTCATCTGACAGTTCAGTATCATTGCTGCTCATTGATGAGTTCCTATCTTTTTTTGCTCTATTTTTCCTTGATCTCTTACGAGATTCATCTTTCTCGGTATTTGATGTAAGATCAGACTCTTCTTCGCTTGTTTCAACTTTTTTCTTGCCACGTCATAACTCACTGTAACAAAATAACATAATGGGAATAAAAACATGTACCATCGTCCCATAATTATTAAAATACATCAACCAACATTAATGTTGCATGTGGAAAACAAATAATAATACACATGATATATTTCAGAAACAAATGTAATATGACTTACAATATGTCCCATATATTTTTCGAATGGAACATTTTGTTGACTGTAAAGTTTATTATTATTATTATTATTATTATTTTGACCATGTAGATTCCGGCTCTTCCATACGTTTAACTGCTTTGTCCGTACCTCGCAGTACTAGTGTAAATAGGCCAAAAAGCTTCCGTCAGATTTTTAGTCAACCAATTCTTTGGAACTACTGAGGGTCCATCTTCAAATTCAACGACTGCGTAGATCTTCAACGTGCCAGCCTACACGCTGAGGTTTTCCTTATGTTGTTTACACTTATTTTGCGAGCAACGAAATCGGGACTGGCAAATTTTTGTGAGCAACACATTCTTACGTTATTGTTATGTGCAATTTCGTTGCTATATGTATATTGTCCCGTTAACTTAATCTTCCTTTAGCGGAATTTTTTAAGAAAACTTACAGAATAACAAATTTTTTTTCTTTGCCAACTTTTTAGCAACAAATGAGCAACAAATAAAAATATTAGTTGGAATTGGTTCTGCTCACTTTGTTCCGCGAACTTATAAGACGTCGGGAGAACGATGTACAAAAGGAGAATGGTGAACGATTAAAATTGGAGTGCAGGATGCGCACAAAAGAGAACGTAGGTTTTCCTATCGGGGAGAGGGAATCCAATATTAAACTTGCAACGTGCCCCGATACGCGCGGCCGATACACTTTAGACTCAGCTATCGCTCCACGTGTTATTGCATAAACATCCCGTTACCGTCGCTATACTCAAATTTTAATTATCAACGACGTGCCGTTACTTGCGCCCCTTAGTCCCCCACGCCAACACTCGCAATTCTGCCTGTGTGGCACACGGGGAGGGGGAGTCGCAATAAATCGATAACCGTTCCAATAACGATTGACAACGCGACCACGGCCGCGTGACACGCATCGGCCCCGATTTAAATGACAAAGGGGATTAATCGTCGGAGTTTTCATCACATCCCTGGCAAACCCGACACCCCGCGTACCCCGTTTGCAGTTTGCTCGACTACCATTACTTCGTCGGGCCGACACCTTTTTCATTTTCACCCGGGGGGATCGGCTCGTCGCCCAGTCCTCCGATTTTCACGGTTCCCTTCGCAATGCTCCCGCCGCGCCGCTCCCGCGTTTGTTTTTTCGGATTCTCCTTCACCGTGCGACAGACGCGCCTCCGTTGTTTTTCGTCGCGTTTCCCCGCTCTTTTTTATCGTCCCGCTTTTGACGAACTCTCGCAAACAGCCCGTCGTCGTCGATGCCGTCGTGGCCAATCGATCGCGGCTTCGAGTGACAAACGTGTCCGGCCCTATCGATGTCGGTTCGCTGCTTTTTCGCGATAGATCATTCCTTGGCTGTCATGAAGTTTAACAGGAAACAATGTTTACGCGATGACCGTCAATGATCAAACGTTCTAGGGAACATTTCTTTACCATACGACATTGCTTACGACGTCTCTTAAGAAATTGACGTTATTGTATTA